AAAAAAAAAAAAAAAAAAAAAAAAAACCGAAAAAACTATGTTATGCAGAAAAATAAACTGAACAACTCGTGCCTCAGGGTCACATCGAAATTCTTTACCAAAATTTCAAATATAAAATAAAATTAAAATTTAGGCTACCAGGCAGGCCGCCTGGGTGACCTTGTTTTCCCAGGTGGCCAGCCGTCCAAGGGCAAAAGTAGGTCCCACCAAACAAAAAAAAGAAGAAAAAAAAGAAATCGAAAAGATCTGAAAGAAAACTATGTTAGTCAGAAAGCTGAGAAAACTTAAAAAAAAAGAAAAAAAGAAACAAAAAACTAAACTTTAAAAAAATGTTTTTTTTTTTTGTTTTTTTTTTTTGGGGGGCGGGGGGCAGGGGGGGGGCCGGCATGCTAATCTTCTGTGTATCGTCCAATTTTAACGGATGTCCCAAAGGACTCTCTGTATCTAGATTCTAGACTGATAGCTGCCCAAGTCACAGTTATATTATTACTGTTATTATGACCAGGCAGTCAATCTGGAGGAGAACGGTATTTAAACCACAAGTACATCTGGAGAATTCGAATGAGCCCCTCCAAAAAGTTAGGGGACTTGGGAATCGGGCCCGCCTGGGGGCGGGCGGATCTTTTTTTTTTTTTGTTCAGGGCTCGGTCTAGTGCCACCCACGGCATGGGACACTTTCTTTTTTTTTCCCTACCGGCCCTTCGAACGCACTGTCCCGCGCCTCCAAAATTTTAGGATTCTGAACTTGGCTGGGGGCCATGTACTGGTGATTTAAGTCAAACAGAACCCACCACAAACCCACCACAGACCAACCACAGAACCCACCAACGGGCCTAGCTCAGTCGGTACACCCATGAACTGTTGAAATACAGACCTGAGTTCGAATCCCAGTGACCTCAGACGAGTAAACAGCTCTGCATTTGCGCAGTACTGGTCAGTTTTAAACTCGCGGACGGCAGATGACTCGATCCAAGTGCAAATAAAAATTGAATGGTATTCGGCAGGGGGAGCAGCTTTGAAATGGGTAGAAAAGTGAAGAAAGGGACCATTTGTGGGGTTTGAGAGAGATTTCGCTCACCTTGGCCCCCAAACACATGCTTTGGGAATGAGCCTCGTCTGATTCGAAAGCCACAGAGCTTGACCCTTTCCCCATATAAGTCTTTAACCCCGGAGCTCGCAGGTGGTGACTACCCGAAAATTCGACACCTTGATGACCAACACTGCCATTGATTTGTACATCATCATCTGGCTGGGAACCTTGCCCGACGGTTTGACGATAGCCATCTTTTGCCAGGTTTGCTGACTCTGTGGCTGCTGCCACGGCCACCCGCAACCCCTCCTCGTGGACATCGGCATCAGTCAAACGTGCACCCAAGAAATTCACCCGATCATTTGCTGCCATCGCCATAGCACCTGCTACACCAGTATCGCTCGAGTTTTGCCTCGTTTGAGGGACCAATCCCGGTTCTTGGCTTGCAGCAGCAGCAGAATTTGTGGCCATGGACGATTCTATCTGGGGGTGAAGTGTGGCGCCTTGTCTAACGGGGGGTTCACCGGACAGTCGCAAAGGGGGCGCATGAATCTGTTTACCACTGTGTGCTCCTGTCACACCCTCATATTTCTGGATTTTCAACCGCGAGTTTTGGGACTGCACCCCGTAAAGAGCGCTCGTTGACGATCTCTGCAGTGGCCAGCTTTTGTGTATTGTCGTCTCCACTTTCGGCGAGAGTAAAGTTCCTTGCAGCTGAGCTGTGGTCGCTGCGTCCCTGCGCCGTGGAATACCGCCAGGAAGTCGCAAAACATCCGTACGGGTCGAGGGGAACTCGTGCTCTTCCCCAGCTCCATGCCATTGCGACTGGTCCTGATAGCTTCTCTCTTCTTGTTTGAATCCGTGCATCTGGACCTGTGGGGTCGGTCGAGGGTCTTTGTTTAGTCCTGGTTCCGCAGGTTTTGCACCCGGTTCCACTCCTCGGACATCAGTAGGTATTACTCGGGCGTCCTCTTCCAGATGAATGCTTGTCGCTTGATTTCTTCCTGCTCCATATCCATGCGTCATCACGTCGGTTGCCGGCACAGTTCTGGTGCCTGCGGCAACAGAATGCCAGCCATGAGTAGCTGTCAAATCACTTGACCCAGGCAATGATGTGTTCTTCAATGGGATCCGAAGCAACCCTGCCAACTCCTTTCCCGGAAATTCTGATTGGTGATCACCATCAGCCTGGGATATCGTCAGAATCTTGTCAGGATTGTCCTGAGGGTCCCTTTTTGGTCCAGGTGGTCCAAACTTTGGGTCATAGTCTGTTTCTCCTAGAACTCCTCCATTGCCGTTTGATGGAGGCCCGGGGATCCGGAATTGGACCTGGCTCACAGATTCATTGTTGGTACTAAGCGGATTCGCCAATGAATTGCCTCCTTCTGTCAAACCTCGATGCATAACAAACATATTTTCCATTGTACCAGGTGGTCCAAACTTTGGACCATGGTCTGTTTCTTCAGGGATATTCAATCTGTGCTTTAGACTCTTCAGGCTCTTCAAACTCTTCAGAGACTTTGCACTCCTCGGAATCGATGATAGAAAGACCTGCGAGGACAGCAGCAGCATTGCTGGCCTTTCTAAGTTTTTCTTCCTTGAAGTTTCTTCTGTTTCTCTAAGAACTTAGTAAAAAGTCAAAGATAAAAAATAAAAAATAAATAAAAAAGATGGCTGGGCAAGCGTTTTCAAGGGGGTCCCCTTCACGTATCTAGTAAGTTTTAACCAAGAAAGACTGTACTTGGCGAAACAAACGAAGAACAGAGTGGACAGCATGAGACACACTGAAACCCTTCTTTTGGCATTTCGTTTTCTTTTCTTCTTTCTTTCAGCACTCCCTTTGCTGTGCCTCCAAGGTGCAAGGCTCGCCAAACTGCTCTAGCTCAGCATGAGGTGCACACACCTCTCGGTGCCTGTATCATAACAACACACTTGCACACTGTATATATATATATTGTCACA